CGGCAAGGACATGCATACGTTGCGGTCAAGGACATCCGATATTCCGGACGATCGTGGACGTGTCGGATATGAGCAGCCTCCACGCCAGAAAGAGACTACCATTAAGGTCAACGAACTCCTTAAGCACTTGAATCATCTTGATCTGTGTCTGAAGAGCAGCGATTTGGGTTACCACCACCCATTCCAGTGCAATTTTTCACTTGCCAGCCGACACAAGATCAGAGTTCGTGGCCAGCAATCCGCTGAGAAACGTGGCGAGAAGAATGCCGAGCGGCTTGAACGTTTGAAGGAACGATCTCGGCAGAATAATAAACAAGCTCGCCAAGCTGGCTGGGACCAGTCCTGGTCCTCGGGAGCGTCAAGCTCATGGTGGTATACCGGTTCCTCTTCGTCATCTTGGAACCCCGGTTACCGAGGATACAGGAACTGGTAGGTAGTCTCTAAAAAGCCGATATGCCGGCTTGAGCACCGCCAAGGCAAGTAGTCTTGAAAAGCCGATATTCCGGCCGACTACAGTTAAATGCCACAAAGCTAAATGCAGTTTAAAAGACCCAGATATATCTAAACTAAAGGCCTTATAGATTTGACTTCAACTTGATGATTTAACTTGAAAAAGAAGATTTCCGATATTCCGGAACGTTCGATGCAACAAGTATGCCTTTCGTAGATTTGTAAAGATTATCTGACGCAACCTAGATGAGCCAGAATGGCATCTACGGTCTAGTTCTGCGAAGACAGAACTTCTATAATTCATTTGCATTCTTTTGCGAACCTTTTGTACTTTAGCGAGCGTAATCTTCGACGCGAAGAAAATTTGTGTCTGTTTTGTGTTTGGTAGGGTCCTAGGTCCCCCTAGGCGTGTCTACGCTATACGTGTGTAGCACCTGTTCTTGTACATAGACTAGTTTGTAGCTCTTCAGTCCGCTTTCGACTTAATTCATTTGGCTCAAGACTTAGCAGCCCAATACCTGCATCCGCAGCCATAGAAAAGGTGTGCATCGCTGCCGCTCGCACACCGACACACTCGTGTGACTTCACTTGGTGTTTCGATCAGGTCCAGTTATCCAACTGCCACTTCTGGGGGAACTTACCCCTCACCCCTTCCCCTTCCCTTCCCTCCCCTTCCCTCCCCTCCCCTCCCCTCCCCTCCCCTCCCGTCTCGTCTCGTCTCGTCTCGTCTCCTCTCGTCTCGTCTCGTCTCGTCTCGTCTCGTCTCGTCTCGTCTCGTC